TTCAAAGCGGCGGCCAAAAACGAATTGGTGGCTGCAGGCGTCGCTACTACGGTAAGGTAGGCGGGGGGGGGGGACAGGCGGGCGACCGTCGAGCGGGCAGGCAGCGACGGTGATTTTGGGCGAAATCGGCCGTCAGCAAAGTTAGGTGGGCGGCGGGCGGTCGCGCGTAAGCCGACTGAACACAGTTCGGCGATTGGCGCGTGGCCGGCGTCTTTACATCTCCAGTAGGTGCAGATGGAAATTTGCATCACGAGATGTTGTATTTTACATCTCCGAAAGGCGGAGATGTATTTTTTGTTTTTCTTTTTCATCTACATCATTTGTTGGAGAGGGGGTTTTGGGCCTCGCAGATGCAAAAGTTAGTTTTTTTTTTTTGCATCTACATCTTCTATTGGGATGCTCTTATGTGTTAGTACACGTCAATCGCTGTTTCACCTACTACAGTTTTTTTTCCTAAAAAAAAACTACTACAGTTTTTTTTTCCGAACATAAGCCAAATACTCCCTCCGTTCCAAAATAGATGACTCAACTTTGTACTCCCTCCGTCCCAAAATTCTTGTCTTAAATTTGTCCAGATACGGATGTATCTAACACTAAAACGTAACTAGATACATCCGCATTTGAACAAATCTAAGGCAAGAATTTTGAGACGGAGGGAGTACTAACTTGAGTACAAAGTTGGGTCATCTATTTTAGAACGGATGGAGTACAAGTCAATCGCTGTTTCAAATGCTACAGTTTTTTTTCTTTTTCAAAACATCAGCCAAAAGCTCCATTTTTGTGCGGGTTTCAAAGAAGAAAGATCCACGTCATATTTAAATGATCATATACCACTTTGGTCAAATTGTATACTTGTATGAGCTTATTTACAAAATATATGATACACATGCAAAACTGTACCATTTTTACACTAGCTTCAACGTCGATTTTACGCAGCTAATTCCACACTAATCCCAGAAGCTAGGAATCTGAACCAAAGCTAGTATGATGCAAAGGAAGCATTGCCAAATCCTACCTAGTTGCAGATTGATGCTTGGTTAGGTTCAATGCTTATTCCTATGTTCTTTTCATCCTTTTTCCTGAAAAACTGACATCACTGCATATGCCATTTGTCAGCCCCGAACCACCTATGTTTGTAGCAAGCCTGAGCCATTTGATTATTCGAGAACAAACGTAGTACCAAGGAAGTAGTACGCTGCTGAAAGATAAATCAATTACACTGGACAATCACATGGATAAGAGACAGACATCAACCAGAAGTTCCACTTTATAATCTGAAAAACATATGTCACTTTGGTCAATTTGTATGAACATTTTTACAGAATATATGCTGCACATTGTGAACTGGATAATGGCATTTTACAGTAAAGAAAAGGAAGGTTTGACGTGCCTGGGAGCACTACATATATTGCTCTGTAGCAACTAATACAGTATCTGGTCTGAGACGGGGCTAGGAATCTGAAACCAACTGTAATACAGTGTAAAGAATGCTATCATCTTGACACTGTTAACCACCAACGCATGGATGGATGACCAAAAACACCGCCTGCGCATGGATGGTTCACAAATAACACTGGTACAAAGCAGTTCACCCTGTACAGATCACCAGCGGGAACATTAATAGATTCTTGGGCCTCTGGGAGAAAAATGCCCTTACTCAAGTGCAGTATACAGGTACTAAATCTGTGCAAAGAGGAGCTCATTCCACATATCTGGTATACCAGGAAGGCACCAGTGCAAGCAATCATGAATGCCTGTTGGAGCTCTGAAAGTACGATTTGAGATGTGCCCCTCATCTCGTAGTTGTGACGTAGAAGTAATATCCAAAAGCTTAACCTGAGTTCCATTTACAGCACGCTCTGCAGGCAAGTCACTTGAATGATCCTGCAAGACCTCGCTTCCATTAGAAAAGGGAACGCTATTACCACAACTTCCACCAGTGTTCCAATCGCCATTTACAAAATGCCTCGGTGACATTGTCCTCAGAAAAGCTTTCATCTGAGGACGGCTTGCGAGTTCTGAATCCACCCACCTGGCAATGCTATACAGTGTAAGATTCTTTGCACGGTTGAGATCTGCAAGTCGACCTTTCCCTACAGGCTCCCCATTGGCATACAATTCCCAATGATTTCCATTGAATTTCCCTCTGTTCCAGTGATGACCAGTGTTCAGTACTAGAACATCAAAACCATGGAAATACTTCTTCAAGAATGTTACTGGCCGATCAAGATGCAACGCATAGCTAGTCACTGAATTTGTTGTGTTCAAAGGTTCCAGTTCAGATAGGCTAGCAGACCAGTAGTAAAGGATAGTGGTGTTAGTCTCTGGAAATCGATAAGCCCACCCATCAGGTCTCAAAGCACCTGGAGCTTTGACAAGGCCATATTTCCAACCAACATCTTCAACATCTGGGCTGTATTTACCACCTGTTGCTATACACATGATGGACTGAAATTGCTGTCTCCCGAGGGAATCACCCACAAAAGCAAGAGTTTTATGCCTCAGCCTGTAAGCATTCCAATATGTTAGAAAAAGACCAGTATGTAAGCTGAAGCACAGTTAAAAATAGCACAATACCTGCTCAACAAGTTAGGACCTGAAAACTCAGGCATCTCACAACCGTGCGGCTGCCACCGGTAACTCTCATAGAAGAAATCTGTGCGTTGCATCATTCGACAAGCCCACATTTTGGACAGCCATTGCTTGCACTCATTACCTGAATAGAGTGGCCGTTTCTCATCTGCCACCCACTTTCCCTTTGCATAGTTACAGTCTGCGAAGCAACAACACCACTCTATTAGGCATAAGAAAGTAATCTTCAGACTTCCAACACATAATGCACATGTTAAAAATCATAACCTTTGTTCCATTTGTTCCGTCTGGTTATACTCGTGTGAGTGTCGTCGTTATAAGCTGGACCTGCAGGCACAACTAGAGCTGATACATTATCTCCAATATGTTCCAGTCCATGCTGCTGTAGGAAACCTGATGCGGGAAGGGGGACACAGATAACAATTCAGCCAAAGGAGCATGGAGAGATTTTGAGTCGGCAATCAAAGCAACAAGCTAGCACAATAGCAACTACTCCCTCCGTCCGGAAATACTTGTCCTAGGAATGGTTGTATCTAGACTTGTTTTAGTTATAGATACAACAATTTTATTCATTTCTAGGACAAGTATTTCCGGACTGAGGGAGTATTTGAGAGGGTGTACCTTGGGAGAGAAGTTTCAGCTGTTCTGGAGTTGTGCCCAGCAACAAAATGACAATCGGCACAACGAGGAGAACTAATAAAAGGCCCAAGCATAGCTTGTTGACAAGGAGCCTATGCAGAACACCGCCTTTCATCCTGCGAAGGCAGCATAGGACCTCACCAGGCTCCTCCAAGCAAACTCAGATTTCGGTCTCGATCGACCACATCAAAATTATCTCTGCACATGGGAACAGTCGATAATCAGGCCCGCTACTCAAAACAGTTCATACATGATTGTGAAATATCGAAATCGTGGAAAAAATTCATCCAATTGCAACGCGCAGAAGCTGAGGTCGGGTTCCTTCCAGAACGCGTAATAAACACGGGCAGATCTAGATGGTGTGCCGGGTGTACACCGGGCCGGCGCACCCAGAAATTTCTCGCTTGGGTGGGGTTTAGCTAACCATGGATGACGAAATGCTCGTACCTCGGAATCCGATAGCCGAAATTGTGGACGGAGTGCAGACGGCGGGGACGCGATGAGGTTGAAGTGGAACGGCGATGGGGGGCGACGCGCGTGGAATGGGGATTGGGTTTGTGGGTGGGGTGGATAGTGGGAGTCGCCGTCGGGGGTGGCTAGGGGGGCTACTGCCTACTGGGAGCCGCTGTCGTGGGAGGGCGGGGAGGCGATTGGGACTGGGAGCCGCCGAGGAGAAGTACGGCACGGCGGCAGGGCAGGCGAGGGGGCCCGGGAGAGCGAGGGGAAGGGGAAAGGTGGCACTCCAGCGGTCCAGCCGCACGGGAGATGGAACGGTCCGATGGTGGAGACGAAACCGTCGAGATGAATTTTGACTCCGAGGGTATATTTGGTAGGAAAAAAAACCTATTACCAGGGTTTTTAAGCTAATTATATATTTTTATTTACTTATTTTGAGAAAACCTGCTAAACTTTATTCATCTAATGAAATGTTTATAGGGATTACAGCAGGATTGTGAGGTTGCCACATCCACAGGTGGCGACCCTGATCTAGCCGAGCAGCAAACTTAGCAAGTTTATGAGGTTCGACATTGGATAACCTAGACTCATGAATATAAGTACAAGAACTAAAAAGACTTAATGAGGTAGCTTCTGCAAAATTCTCGTTGGAGGTGGTTGGCAGCTCCCGATCAAACATTGTTCACTAGAGTCGAACAATGTTTCATTCAGCAGCAAACTCGAGTTCTCGGAACCTTTCGTAAGTTGGGATATCCAAACTCGTGCAAAACATTGTTTCGTAGAATCGGAACAATGTTTCTTCGGAAGACAACTCATTTTCTTCATGAATTCCTAACTTTGTTTCTTCGCCATTAAACATTGTTTTGCACAGACTGAAATGTGTTTGGCCTTCTTTGGTACCGCACCTGAGTTCAACCAACAACAAAGGAGGTGAAGGCACAACCATGTTTTCAAGGTCAAATGATAGACTTAAGTTAGCGTTCACCTGATCGTGTATTTGCATAGCGCGGCTTCTTGTGATTGGACCATTGATGAATGGTGGTGTGATGCCCATGGTTGGGATGTCCTCATCACTCTCCTCCCTCCTCCTTCGGTTGTTGCTCCTCCGACTCCGACTCCGACGAGTCCGGGGGCAGTCCCTCAGCAATGCGGGTGGCGCGCCTAGCCTGAATCTCCTCCGCGATCTGCCTCCGGCGCTCCAGTGTGAGCATAGCATACGTGGTGATCTTTCACCGGGCCATGGTGATGCCAGAGAGCATGGGAGAGAGTGGGAGAGGAGGCGGACGGGCTTGAGTGGCGGCGTAAAGAGGGAGGAGGTGGATGGACTAGGGTTGGGTGACGTCGGTCGACTTAAAAAGCCGGATTTAGCCTTGGGCGAAGAGCCGGAGCAGCGTCACGCGACGTTCACACCGCGGCGATGGAGGAGGCGTCCGTTGGACCGCCGAGTTTCTCGGGATTCCGCGTGGGACCCTTCTTCAGTCCTACGTGGCGGACGCGTTCGGTTGAACCCGACGCCCCATATTCGCCCATATTTGGGCTGGATATGAGGGTGTCGGTCAGCCCGCGTGTTTGATGTGCCCATTTGGGTCAGATTTTCATGACCGGTCAACGGGCAGCCTGGACGTTTGAGAGCATCTACAACCGGCCTACTCCTCCCTAGGCCCGCTAGTCGTTGACAGCCTCCACAATTTTCCTCCATTTTCCCCAAAACACTCCCCCCCGCAAGCGCTCCCGCCGTTCGCCATGGACGCCGACCTCGATGCCACTGCCAGCCTCGCCTCCCTCGCCTCATCTGGCATCACGTGCGCCCCCTCCGGCAAAGGCAAACCTCGCGCCCCCCACAATACCGCCGTCGTGCCCAAGCCGAAGAAGAAGCTTACGGACGACGAGCGGGCAAGGGAGTCGGCGAAGAGAAAGGGCCGGAGGCACGCGGCGGACGCAAGGGGCGAAGCCATCGCGGCAGCCGCCATCGCCGCCGCCGCACAGTAGGAGGCCACCAACGCCCGCGTCGTGGCGGCAACGAGGGAGGTGCTAGTTTTACTAGTGAAAGTGTGAGTTATCGACTAGAAGGGGGTGAATTATGCGATTTTTATGAAAGTCTTCAAAACACGACGGCTTTGAAGACAAACAGGTAAACTGAGCCTATATAGAAAGTAGCGGAATGAAGACTACACTAGGCAAGCATTAGTCAAGCATACAATACAGTGAAAGCATGAAGACTAATTACAACTAGGTAGACATGATCAGAATGGAAGATAGTACGAAGCTAAACAGATATAAGTCTTCACACCATGAAGTAAAATGGATCAGGCACGCAAGCAATGACTTCACGAAGACAAACTGTAAAGTAAGGAGAATAGAGGATATAACCAGTTGCTTGGTGAAGACAAGGATTTGGTAGACCAGTTCAATTGCTGTGACAACTGTACGTCTGGTTAGGGAGGCTGAGATTGAACTCAGAAGATTGTGTCTTCACCTTATTCCCCTTGAGCTAAGGACACCCAGTCCTTGCCCAATAACTTTGGTAAGTCTTCGAGGTAGAGTTCCAAACCTTCACAGACTACATTCATCGGCAATCCACAATGACTCTTGAATGCTTAGAACGCGATGCCTAACCGACTGGAGGATGCACAGTCCTCAAGTGTAATAAGTCTTCGGATCACGTAGACAAAAAGACTTCAGTGATGCCAAACACTCTTTGGCTCTGGGTGTTTTGGGCTTTGTCCTCGCAAGGATCTCTCTCTCTCAAATGCTTCGGAGGTGGGTTGCTCTCAAACGACAAAAATCGTGCACTAACTCTGAGCAGCCACCAATTTATGGTGTAGGGGTGGGCTATTTATAGCCAGGAGGCAACCCGACCTGATATGTCCGAAATGACCCTGGGTCACTAAGGAACTGACACGTGTCCAACGGTCAGATTTCAAACACATGCGACAGCTTGGCTTGGGCTACAAGCAAAGCTCACTCATCCAGCCCTGGATAAGATTTGCTCTCATTGTCTTCGCTCGAAGACATAGGATTTGGTTGAGCATCACTTCAGTCACTCTGACTTTGTTCACTTGGACCCCACTTAATAGTACGGTGGTTCCTATGACTCAATAAAGAAGAAAGGAAACTACGAAACAGATATGTCTTCGCACTCCATAGTCTTCAAGTGAATATCTTCACATGTCATAATCTTCGTCGTGAATGTCTTCACGAACCACCATTGTCTTCAATGTCTTCACACATTTTTAGGGGTCATCTCTGGTAGGTAATCCGAATCGATGAGGGACACTACATGTGTTATCCTGCAATTCTCACAAACACATTAGTCCTTCAACCCCGTTTGTCGTCAATACTCCAAAACCAACTAGGGGTGGCACTAGATGCACTTACAATATCCCCCTTTTTGGTGATTGATGACAAAATGGTTGAAGTTTTCAACGGGGATAAAAATATGTGAAAGTTCAGTGTTGTGAGCATTGTCTTCATACATAAAAAGAGGCTCTCCTTGAAGATGTGCATATAAGTAGTTTGCTTTTGATTGCAAATGCACATGGCAGGTTTTGCTTTGTGGAGGCCATCTTCAAAGTGTGAAGACAATTCATCATGCATATAAAAAGGTAATGAACATAATGATATGCATAATGGAAAATGGACGTCTGCAGAATGACTTCACGCAGAATTTATCATCGCATCACAAAGTGGCAGCAAAAGTAACAGATGACCATCAAGTTTAAGTGTTACAACTCAAAAGCCAAAAGTTTTAGAACGAGAGTTGTAAGAACTTAGCAAAAATTAAGCAACCAGCCATATGGACCCGCTTGAAGACTATCAACTCATATGCATCTCCCCCTTTTGTCAGTAATGACCAAAAAGGTTTGAAGACATAGAGTATCTACTCGTTCCTAGATGGAGATGAAGTTGGAGCAGCAGGGTCGACGTTGGAGTTTGGTGGTGCAGACGGTCCTGGTGCAGCATCGTGATGCAGTGCAGTTAAAGTCGGAGAAGTGGCGTCATCTTCTTCATCGACAACTCTTGCAACAATAGTTGCAACCAAAGTTGAGCACTCAGAATCTTCAATGGAGGGTGTGCGACACCAACTTGCATTTGAGGAGGCCTGGAGTCAAACTGGAATTCCTCGGTGAAGCCATCTGCGTGAAGATCATCTTCAGGGCAGAGCAAGGTGAGACTCTTCCAGGACTGCCGACAGGCTTCATGGGCTACAAATGAGTTCTTGGTGGCCAAGTTGCGAATGCGATTGACATCCACCAAGATACTTTGCATCTGACGCTTCAGCCAGTCATGATGTTTGTCCTGCTTTTGATGTAAAGCCACCAGAAGCTCACGATCATTAAGAACACGAGAGAGCTCCCGAGGCCTTTGAGCAATGGTGCTTGCAGTGGCTTCGGTGTTGGCATGGTGCGGTATGCGCAGGTTGCCAGCCAAAGGATAAGCAGGAGTTGCAGCATTGGGAACATGAACACCTTCAATGGGCTGTGTGAAGCTCTAGAATTTAGCATTCTGGAGGTGGAGGGGCTTCTTGGCAGGCTCAGGGTAGATGGCTTCAACAGACATATCAACATCAGGCAGAAATACAATATGGTTGCGTGTTGAAGGCCGATAGTCAATAGTTGGATGACACTTAATCAAGCGCATCACCCATGGAGCATAAAA